TGACGACAGTGTACCTGGGCCCAGCGAGCTCCAAGACGCCATCTATCCAGTCCTTGAGGCGCTGCACTGTTTTGTTATGGCGCGGTGTCTGAGCTGCTGTGCGTGGCCGCACCAGGAAATAGATTGGCCCGTAGCACGTCGCCCACGTACTCGCGCCTCCCCACCGCGACGAGGCTCTGCACGTTGTAGCTGACGATGGTCCACTCCTGGGCCATCCATTGTGCGACGGGCTGGGGCACAAGAGGGAGCCCACGCTGCCAAAACCGCGCCGCGCCAGGCCTGGAGGGCAGGCATGCGCTGTTCGCTGTGGGTTCCAGTATGGTGTGTGCGACGCCAGCAAAGCATCACCTTGTGCCGCGTGGGCTTCGTGGCACCCGGAGGCAGTGGCAGCGTGCTTGCTGCGTGGGCATCGCCGAGAGGAGGTCGTAGCAGCAGTGGAACGGCAGCTACGCAAACGGGACCAGGACCTGCTCGTCGCAGCGCAAATGCCTACTACCGATCGCCTCAATGAGGTCCTCATGGAGTGCATCCGGGATGGGGCGCTTCCACTCCTCAAGGAATCTCCGTGGTCTTCACGCGTTCCGAGGTTACGCGAACGGCTTGGGGAGCTCCTGCGGCAGCGATGGCAGCTCAAGGAACGGCTGGCTGAACAAAGCGATCAGCGCATGCAGCACGACACGGACCTCCTCCTCCTCCTCCTTCTCCTCCTCCTCCTCCTCCTCCTCCTCCTCATCCTCCTCCTCCTCCTCCTCCTCCTCTCCTCCTCCCCTCCCCTCCCCTCCCTCCCTCCCTCGCTCCCTCCCTCCCTCTCTCCCTCTCTCCTGCTCTCCCTCCTCCCTCCCTCCCTCCTTCCTCCTCCTCCTCCTCCCCCTCCTCATCCTCATCATCCTTCTCCTCCTCCTCCTCCTCCTCGTCCTCCTCGTCCTCGTCCTTCCTCCTCCTCCTCCTCCTCCTCCTCCTCCTCCTCTCTCCTCCTCCTCCTCCTCCTCTTCCTCCCTTCCTCCCTCCTCTCCAGCCCTCCTCCCTCCCTCCTCCTCCTCCTCCTCCTCGTCCTCCTCCTCCTCGTCCTCCTCGTCCTCGTCCTTCTCCTCCTCCTCCTTCTCCTCCTCCTCCTCCTCCTCTTCCTCGTCCTCCTCCTCTTCCTCCTCCTCCTCGTCCTCCTCGTCCTCGTCCTTTTCCTCATACTGTTAGTCGTCGTATGTTTCCCAGTATGCCTTTTATTCGCTTTCTTCTCTTAGTAGTATTCTTGTTCGTCCTATTATTGTGCCGAATAGCAATACTAAAATATATGATATTCAGTAGCACTAGTATTAGTATTAGCCTTGTGCTTGCTGCTAGTCTTCGTAGTCTTCATGATAATTCTGGTAGCGTTGAAACGCTTATGTTTACCTATAACCGTAAGATGTGTCGCATTAGTATTCGTATTCGTTCGTAATGATATTCATATGGGTCTTAATATTCGCACTATCATCACTATCAGTGTTCGCGTTCTCGTCGTATTCGTAACAGGATGATTCGCGTTAATAATCATAATCGAAACACAAGCCGTATTCTTCTGAATATTAGGTTTAGCATTAGTGAGAATGTTACACATCGTGTGAATATCGCTAGTAACAGCATTACTAGTATTCGTAGCAGTGGCATTCGTAGCTCATAAGAATCATTGTAATCGCAGTGTTAGTCGCATAACATTGACTGGTAGTTATATAAATATCAGCACTCGCGCTATTCATATTGTTCGTTTTACTGTCTGGAACAACTACGAGTACCAATACTACTACAAGGTGTCGTCGTATAAATAGTACGGTTAATTGCATTAGTGTTAGTAGTACTTTCAACTGTGTTCTTAATGTGTGTATAAACATGATTATGGTGGGTAGTAGTATTATGGCTCGTAGTATGGTTCTTCTTCGTAATAGTACGATTATGCTGAATAGTATTGTTCGTATGATTCATAATATTGGAACTATCATTATTCGTCTTGGTATTAGTGTTAGTTTTAGTGTCCGTCGTAGTCTTCAGACTATACCCAATGGTATTACTCATGGTATTCGTTTTCGTATTCGGATTCCTTCTTCTTCTTACAACGATTAGTCTTATTATTCGTATTAGTAACACCATGATATCATGATTTTTCCCCCCCCCCCTCCTCATCATCATCATACTCATCATCATCGTCATCATCATCATCATCATCATCACCATCATCATCATCATCCGCTTCCGCCTCCGCATCCGCATCCGCTTCCTCCTCATCCTCCTCCTCTTCCTCCTCTTCCTTATGCTTCTCCTCCTCCGCCTCCTTGTCGTCCTCGTCCTCCTCCTCCTCCCTCCCTTCGCACCCCCTCGGGCCCTGGGGATGGCCCGAAGAGACCCTCTAAGGCCGCCCTCCTGCTCCCAGAGATCTTTCTGTTCGTCCTTGTTGCCCACTTTGGTTCACTGTATGTGTCTATTCGTCCTTTTCCCCGTCAGCTCTCGTGAGCAACGTTTCCGAACGGGC